TAACTTTCATTTCTTTTTTTTTTTTTTTATTAATTTATTTTGCAATACAATTCAGTTCTACATATCAGCCACGGATTCCCTTGTTCTCCCCCCTCCCGTCCCCCTCACCTTCCCCTCAACACCCCCCCCCCCATTCCCATCTCCTCCAGGGCAAAGCCTTCCCCACAGACTGAGGTCAACCTGGTAGACTCAGTCCAGGTAGGTCTAGTCCCCTCCTCCCAGGCCGAGCCAAACAATCCTGCATAGGCCCCAGGTTTCAAACAGCCAACTCATGCAATGAGCACAAGATCTGGTCCCACTGCCTGGGTGCCTCCCAAACAGATCAAGCCAATCAACTGTCTCATCCATTCAGAGGGCCTGATCCAGTGGGGACCCCTCAGCCATTGGTTCATAGTTCATGTGTTTCCATTCATTTGGCCATTTGTCCCTGTGCTTTATCCAACCTTGGTCTCAACAACTCTCGCTCATATAAACCCTCCTCATTCTCGTTAATTGGACTCCCAGAGATCCACCCGGGGCCTAGTCATGGATCTCTGCATCCAGATCCCTCAGTAGTTGGATGGGGTTTCTAGCACAACAATTAGGGTGTTTGGCCATCCCATCACCAGAGTAGGTCAGTTCAGGCTGTCTCTCGACCTCTGCCAGCAGTCTGTTGTGTGGGTATCTTTGTGGATTTCTGTGGGCCTCTCTAGCACTTTGCTTCTTCCTGTTCTCATGTGGTCTTCATTTACCATGGTCTCCTATTCCTTGTTCTCCCTCTCTGTTGTTGATCCAGCTGGGATCTCCCGCTCCCCCAAGCTCTCTTTCCCTCAACCCTCGCCTTTCATTACCCCCACTCATGTCCAGGCTGTTCATGTAGATCTCATTCCATTTCTCTGTCATTGGGTGATCCCTGTGTCTTTCTTGGGGTCCTGTTTTCCAGGTAGCCTCCCTGGTGATGTGAGTAGCAGACAAGTCATCCTTGTTTCATGTCTAGTATCCTGCTATGAGTGAGTACATACCATGTTTGTCTTTCTGAGTCTGGGTTACCTCACTCAGGATGATTTTTTCTAGATCCATCCATTTGTCTGCAAACCTCATGATGCCATTGTTTTTCTCTGCTGAGTAGTATTCCATTGTGTATATGTACCACATTTTGTTTATCCATTCTTCAGTTGAAGGGCATCTGGGTTGTTTCCATGTTCTGGCTATTACAAACAATGCTGATATGAACATAACTGAACAAGTGCTCTTATGGTGTGGTTGAGCATTTCTTGGGTATATGCCCAAGAGTGGTATAGCTGGATCTTGGGGGAGATTGATTCCCAATTTTCTAAGAAAGCGCCATATTGATTTCCAAAGTGGTTGTACAAGCTTGCATTCCCACCAGCAGTGGAGGAGAGTTCCCCTAGCTCCACATCCTCTCCAGCATAAGGTGTCTTCAGTGTTTTTGATCTTAGCCATTCTGACAGGCGTAAGGTGGTATCTCAGAGTTGTTGGTATCACACGCCTTTAATCTTAGCATTCCAGAGGCAGAAATCCCTCTGGATCTCTGAGTTCAAGGCCATATTGGAAACAGCCAGGCATGGTGACTCACGCCTTTAATCCCAGAAAGTGAGTCTTTAATCCCAGGGAGTGATGGCAGATAGCAGAAAGGTATATAAAGTGTGAACACCAGCATTTGGCTGGTTAAGCTTTTAGGCTTTGAGCAGCACAGTTCAGCTGAGATTCATTCTGGATGAGGACTCAGAGGCATCCAGTCTGAGGAAACAGGATCAGCTGAGGAATTGGCAAGGTGAGGTAGCTGTGGCTTGTTCTGCTTCTCTGATCTCCCAGCATTCTCCCCAATAACTGGCCTCAGGTTTGATTTTATTAATAAGACTTTCTAAGATTCCTGCTACAGTCATCTTCCATAACTGGTTTAATCTCTATATGATCTATTGCCCCCAGTTCATTTTGGATGCTTTTGGTTTTGAGCCACTCGGTAGCCTTGGCTGTCCTGGAAATTGCTATTTAAAACAGGCTGGCCTTGAACTCACCGAGATGTGTCGTGTCTCTGTCCCCCAAATGCTGCGATTAAAGATGTGTGCCACCATGTCCAGCCTTTTCTGTCACCCTTTGTGTTAGTTTGTACTTTTTGTGACAGGGTCTCATGTAGCCCGTGCTTCCCGGAACCCACAATCCTCTTGCCTACCCATGCATTATGCTGCTTTGTAATTCCACATATTCCTTCCTTTAGCCTCTCTCTGTTTTGATTTGTCTTGCCAGGTCCTGTATTATTATAGTTATTTATTTTTGCTTTCATTAGACCGTTTTCTCGGTCATTTCCTGTTCCACATTGTTTCCGTTTCCCGTCTCATGCTGCAATCTCTCTCACTTCCCCTCATGTCCCTCCTTTATTTTGTTCTACTTGTTTCCCGGCTTCCTTTGATAACAGCCTGACTCATTACTTTTTGTGCTTTAGGAATGTATCAACCGCACTGACTCAGTTATAGGCCACATGCTTTTAAACACAGCCATTGTCCCCACAGTTCTAAGTGTTTTCTAATGCCCCCTAGTAGCTTTGTTTAGCTTCAAGTTGTTTGTTAGCTTGCTCATCTAGGACAATTTTCATTTTTAATTCCAGTTTATTATTTGTGTCTACTTTCACTTGAGCTTTCATGTGACATTTGAAAATGTACTTTTCCTCCTCACAAATGTGTGTATGAGTCTTTCAGATTAAAAAGGCTGTGTAAAGGAGCTGGAGAGATCGCTCAGCAGTTAGGAGCACTTACCACTTGCTCTTGCAGAGGGCTTGAGTTTGGGTCTCAGCACCTGCATCCATCAACTCAGTATGGCATGTAGTTCCAGTTTCAAGAGAGCCAACATCCTCTTCTGGCCTCTTTGGGTACTGCACTCATGCAATACTCAATGAGATGTATTACTTACACACACACACACACACACACACACACACACACACACACACACACACACAACTAAAAATATAAAACCTTTTAAAAAGTGTGTAAATATATGTATTTATGTATGTATAATTTATAATGTATTTATATATTTAATTTTGCAGTTATGATAATCATAAAAAGCCTTAAAGCTATTTGTGGCCCTAAATTGATATGTTTGTTTTTGAACTTATCAAATTAATTTTCTCAAGTCAGTGGATCTCAAAATTTTGAGTTGTAGATTCCCTGGATATCAGTTCTTTTTTTTGTGACTATTATAAAGACTTATCTTAAGTTTAACAAATGAGATACATTATACAAAATTCTAATATAGAAAAAATATAGCAGGAACCAAATGTTCAAAAACCTGTGAGAGGAAAATTTTAATAAAAACTTTCATATAAATTAGAAAATGTCATTCACCAATTTACCCTAAATTTTGAGAACTTATTGTTTAATCTTGGCCTGGCATTCAAGATATACACAGGTGTTTTTATTGTTATTTGTTTGTTTTATCTTTTTACTACTAATTCCCAACCATAACTTCTCAATGCCAGAAAACAATGCATTAATATCCTGGTTCCAGACTTGTGCTACCTGCCCAGATCTTTTGTTAAAAGATAATCTTTTAAATGGGTACAATCATGATTCTCATGAAGATATAAAAATGAGTATGTGTTAAAGAGTATAATCAGTTCATCAGTCAGCGAGGGAGTCGTAGACTTACCACCAGGTGGCACACTCCTGGGATCCGGAACTCTGGAGGCCAAAGCTGGAGGAGTGCAAGCTTGAAGTCAGCCTGGGTGGCAGGATGTGACCTTGTGTTAAACCCCTCACCAAAAAGAGGAAGAATCTTAACAGACACATTTATGCATTCAAAATATTCAAATAAATATGCAAATAAAGATACATGCATTTGTTTTCCCACAGAGGGAAAGAGCAGATAGACAGACTTTACATGTGTATAGACAAAAACTATTTGTCCTTACTCTGTTAGTTGCAGCTCAGAGATATGAGATGGCCAAAGACAGTAGAGGTTAGACTCAGTTAACCAGAGAGGTGTAAGATGGCCAAAGACAGTGAGAGGTTAGACTTGGGTAAACAGAGAGGTGTAAGATGTCCAAAGACAGTAGAGGTTAGACTCAGTTAACCAGAGAGGTGTAAGATGGCCAAAGACAGTAGAGGTTAGACTCGGGTCACCAGAGAGGTGTGTGCTCTGGCGACAAAGCATAGTTTTCTATTGAGACATAATTTTTCTCTGTGCACCTGGGTTTGGCTTTTTCCTTTGTGCTTATTTACTCCACCGCCATTCTTCAGTGACCTTCAGTTACTTATGGAAGTGGGGTTTCTCCCTCTGTCTTCCTTACTGTCTTATTTAATTACCATTTACTTCTATTGCACAATAGTGTTAATTATCTTTTCATTATGCTTTTCCCTACCCCTCTCCCCACACCGTAAGAAATTATAATCTATATTCAGTGGTATTGATCACCTTAGTTATGAGAAGTTCCTGTCTTTCCCCTCCTCTTTACTATGATTTGAATTCCCCTCTATCTCTAACACCAAACACAGCATAATCAATTGTTCTTTACTCTGTAATTGCTAATACTTAATATCGGGTGTCCTTGGAGAAAAACCAGTATATTCAAACAAAGATAAAAAAACAAAGCAGTCTGTTATGGATGCATAGTTCAAGTTCAAAACACATCCTAAGGAGGGTTAAATAGATGGGATTTATACCTAATATTTAATTACGAGTTATAATTTCTATTTCCACTTACACTACCAGTTGTGAAGAGTAGGAAAAGACATTTGAATATTTGCTAATGAGCGATGCTTTTCCCTTCTAAAATATCTTCCCACATTAAGCCCACAAAGTCTGAATAAAGCCAGACATGCAGGAACACAATTGCATTTGGCTTGCTGATTACAAGCTTTTCTTTGCTGACATTTACAAGTATATTCCATGTTCCAAAAATATTTTGCTAATCTTTTGGCAGTTTTAGCTAAATAATTTCAATTATCTATATATAATGTTTATTTTTTATAAGTACTAATTACAAATTTCCATTTCTTTAGATGAGAGATGTTGACAAGCATTATATAAAACCAATTACAAAGTGTGAAAACAGCACACAGACAGATACGCACATACTGCCGCCAACTACTGTGAGATCATATGAGTGGAATGAATGGGAGTTAAGAAGACAAGCCATAAAACTGGTTTGTAACAGTATTTTCTAAATTGTCCAAAAGTGGGGAATTTTGATATTGTTATCCATACAGTTGGTAAGTTAATTGTTTATATAAAAGTAAGAAGTTCCACATAGTTCTCTGCTGACATAAAAGTAATTAGCATAATTAATAACTCACCAGCTTCATATATTGTAAGGTTGTCTTCTAATTTAAACCTGTACAGAAATATGGAAGCATGAACCCACTTTCTAGTAACACCAACCTGCTACTAAACAATGATGGTTACTATTTGCTTCGTAGATTGAAAACCATTTTCTGGGCTGGAGACATGACTAAGTGGTTAAGAGCACTTGACATTCTTTCAGAGAACCTAGGTTCATTTCCAGGCACCCACTTGGGTAGCTGAAGATGCCAGCTCCAGATGATCTGACACTCTCTTCTGGCCTTTGCAAGCCTTCAAACACATGTATGCAGATACATACACATAAATAAAAACAGAATACATCTTCAATATACAGGAGCACCTTTTCTCCAGCTCTGGTGGTATAAGCATGTTCTTCCAGCTACTCGGAAGTCTGAGACCTGCCTAGGTTGAAGGGGGAGTTCATGGGCAGCATGAACCTATGCCAAAGATTTCGTGTGTGTGTGTGTGTGTGTGTGTGTGTGTGTGTGTGTGTGTGCGTGCGCGCGCGTGTGCGTGTGGTGTGTGTTGTATATTAAAAGGCTGCACATATAGCTTAGTGGTAGAGCACTTGCCTAGCAGCCCCAAGTTAAACTACTGTACCAGAAAACGAAAAACAACAGCAACAGCACACTCTATTCCTCTCACTTTTTTTAACCTTTTCAGTCAAATCATAGCTATTGCAGCATCCCTGCCCGCTTTAGGATTGGTAGCCCAGGCTAGCCTGGAATTCAACATGCTCCTGCCCTCACCTCAGCCTCCTGAGTGTTGGGATTACTATTATGTACCCTGTGCCTCCCCCATTCTGTTAGACACTGTGCTTTCCCAGCCTGTGGATTCTGGGTGACTTTAATCATAACAGGTGCCAACCCTTGAAGTCTGTCTTTGAAGCTCTCATCCATGTCCTGCTCGGTAGAATTCCCCACTTGCCTCTTTTTCTGTTTCTTATCATTTAAGACAGATATTTAATGTATTAGTATCATTTACTATACCAGGGGCCTTTGCTGAATAACAAGGTAGGAGGGATAAGTAAATTATTTACTAATTACTTTTTTCATAGCAATCACAGAATACCCAACAAAAATGAAGGACTGAGGATTTATAGAATATATCTGATAAAAAAATCATTTATGCCAGTAGCCTTAGTGTATTTTATCCACCATTCTACTGAAATCATGTGTGAAGTAAACATTTACTCAGGAAGAACAGAAAGCTTGCATGGCACTCTTAAAACGCAGGCAAGGGGAGCTGTGGAGGTGGCTGCCCAGTGGGGAAAGACTCTTGTTACACAAACCTGAAGATGTAAGATTGGGTGCCCCAAACCTACATAAACACATAAAAGTTGGACTCGGTGACACAAACAGCTACAACCCAGTGTGCCCACTTGAAATGGGAGGTGGAGTCATGAAACTGACCAGAAGCTAACTGACTTGGCTGATGCAGCAGCAAAGATATATATGGGGAACTTCTCATCAGCCACTTGGCTGTTACTCAGAGAGGGAATAATCCATTTAGAATTTATTGAGCATTTAAAGATCTTTTAATGCCCAAGGTGGGTTGAGCAGAAAGAAGATGGGGATTTCAATAAGATCAGATAGAAAAGCACCAGTTTTGGTGGGTCAGCAATGATGCAAGGGATACAAAGATTCTTAGGGCCTCACTGCATTGACGCTTACTGTTGACAAGTTAATGCATCTTTCAGAATGTCTTGTAATGGACAATGTAAGAACTTGTGCTGGTTGTGGTGGTGCACACAGGTAGGATTTGCTGAAGGAGGCAGAGGCAGGAAGATCACAAGTTCAAGGCCAGCCTGGGCTACACATTAAAAAAAAAAAAAGAAAAAGAACTTGTTTGACCTGGGATAGGGGAACAAGTCAGTGGCAGAGCACTTGTCTAGCATGTGGGAGGCCCTGAGTTCTAACCCCAGCACAAAAATGATTGCTTATGTAACAAGTCTCTTGGAATAGTAAAATTATGCTACCAGAAATAATGAAAAGATAAAGTCTTATTAATGTAGACTATACGCTGGTCATTTATAAATAGCCTGTGCAACCTATTTAAACTCATGTTTACTAGTAATCCATAAAGAGAGTAAACACAATTAAAATTGTATAACCTGAAAACAGATTTTTATATTAACAGCATAGGGTGAAACTCATTTTAAAAATTCACTATAAATCTTAAATTTTTCACTGACAAGCCAAAACAAATATGATTTTAAAAAAAGTCAAAGTTCTATGAATCTTAAAGTTTAATATTAAGGCAATTATAAGGTCATTTAAAGTCATAACTGAGGTCATTGTAACTCAATCTTGGACACTTTTCTTTAGGCTCATTTTCAGCATTTTACATGTTTTCCTACTTCATAAGAATTCTTAATTTCTTATTCTCTTGATTTTTTTTAGCATTCCAATGTTTTACAGAAAAAAAAATGAGATATTTGGTCCATCAAGATAATTCAGACAGTTGCCATGCAAGCTGCTAAGTTCAGTCCCCAGAACCTTCCACAGAAGGAGAGCATTAACACCAGGAGCTTCCCGCTGACTCCCACATGCACGCCATGGCATGCACACGCCTGCAATCATATCATATACATCCTCATACTCATCGTACTCACCATCATCATCACTACCATAGAAAATGTAATGTTCATTTGTAGAATGGGAAGATAATAGGCAAATATTAACCAAATGCCTGATAATTCTTTACATTATTTTTTAGATTAATACATTAATATTAATATTTCATTAATCCCAATTTTCTGTTTCTACATAGGCTAATTTACGCCAGAAAATGACTCACTCCGTCCAAACTGACCTTAGTCACATGAGGAGAGAAAACTCTTCACAGGTGTACCCTCTGAAAGATGCTGGCACCCAGTCCAAGAGAGATGGCAACAGTGGGGTGCCCAGGCCCCAGATTTTCATAGCTGGTCTGCGTGGGGGACAAACCAAAACAACCTATGGGGTGAAGGTGAACTTAACCAGAGCAGTGGATGAGACCTAGACGGAATTTTAGAGGAAGCTGCTCCTGAATGTTAAGCATGGAAAAGAGTTCCAAGCACCATGTGTGCACATGGTTAGTTCTGTGGTAGTGGCACACCATTGGTTGTGTGAACGTGGGCTAGAGCCCCGTACCTCGCCCGACAGCCAGAAAGATCTAAAAGCAATTTCTGTAGCACATTTCTCATTCTATTAAAAATGACAAATAAAACTCTGTCCATTTATTTGCTGTATCTTTTAGAAAAAGTTTAACAGCATTTAGATTGAAATTGTAATGCCAGTTAGATTAGCTATAAGATGATTATCTCTGGAATAGAGGCTACTTCTAAAATCCTACAAAATTTTAAACATTACCATTTATTCTAAAACACCATACTTTCTGCTCATTAGCTACTCAGTGTTAACACAGATTTCTATATAATGAGCCTTACTATCTGGAACGATTAAAGCCAACATCCACACTGCACCTTTTAAAACCTGGAAATTTGATATTTATACCTGAATTTCAGGCTCCTTGAGAAAAAAAAAAATCAGAATATCTGGTAACAGTGGCTGGCATTCCAGCTTGATCCTTTCAGGTTCTCTATCGGAAAGGTTGTGACATAGAGCCTTCCCACTTCGGACTCCTCCTCAGCCTTATTTGGCCCATAAACCGCTGTGTTTGGGTTTCTGTGAATTACTACACTTTAGGGTATAGTTGTATTACTCTCATGTACTTCTGATACCAACTAATGGATAAGAAAGTTCCCAGGTGAAAGGAACTATCAGAGGAACTAGAAGGGGGATCATTTATATTCAGCACATTTATTTTTGTCTGCATAGGTGATTATTTTTTTTTCTTTTTGGATGGAGAGGGCATATGGCTCAGTTGGTGGAATACTTGTCTAGCATGCACAAGGCCTTGGGTTCAGTCCCCACCATTGCATAAACTGTACATTGTGGCACACAGATGTAATCTAGTATTTGGACAGTGGAGGCAGGAAGATCACAAATTCAAGGTTGTGATTGGACACATAGCAAACATGTGACCAACATAGAATATGAAACCCTGTCTCAGAAAAAGAAAAGCCTTGGTCTCTCCTGGTCTCTCTGATTTGTGTTTTTAGTTGTGCTCCTAGCTAGGGGGCAGGAGGTGACACTCAGGAATCATGCCCCCTTGGCTTGATGGAACCCATTTCACCGTTCACCAGGTTTCCTATATGACCCACAGAGGTGAGATTCCTGCCATGTTGCCTCTGAAGGTCAAAAGGCCAACACTTGTACTTTATTTTGGGCAAAACTTGACACTTCCCAACACCCAGTTCTTTGACAGTTCTGTGGGTATCTACCAGAGCTTGTAAAAAGACAACACGGGTCGCTTCCTCCTCAGATAAGGATGAAAACCCTAGGGAGGAGGTGAAAACCAGAGCAGTGATGGAGCCAGGATCCAGTCAGTCTTCCAGAGGAAAAACAACAAAAATGTGTTGATGTAGTTTGTTTTCTGTTTAGGTTAAATGTTATTTATAACATGAATATATCTTGAAATCTAATTTCCACAGGGTCTATATAAAGGTGAACTTCAAACATACCTTGTCATGATTTTTATACCTGAAGTTTAAAAATGATGTTAATGACAGACTGGCTGTTAAGACAAGGCATGGAGGATAGGATGGGGTTGGGTCATTATAGAACTTATTAAAGTTTAAGAATTCAGGATTGTGATTTTTGTGTTTTTCCAGTTAGCCCTCATCCAAATTCATAAACATAAGCCACCACTGTCTTAGAACTGGGGTCATCTAAGAACTGAGGTTAGA